ATATAGAAATATAAGAAAAAGAAGGAGACATTAGTCCATATTGCTAGAGTCATTCAATGAGAAATTGATGTGTGTGACTCAGAGTTTGCCTACCATTGTGGGCAAACTTCCAATTGCCTTTTATATACTGAGGTGAAACAACCATAAATTATTATCTAAGAAACATATAGAAATGAAAAGAATGTGATCTTTGGAAGAATATTGCGTTGGCTAAAGAACTGCTCAAAAAGAATAGTGTTGGTTAGAGAAAATAATCCATGGAAACTTCATCAGGAGAGTAAGGCCTATATTCATGAGTGTGATAGAGGACTTAGAGGATAGATGAAATCTTAAGGAAACTTTTGGACAAGCAAGATTAAGATACAGATTTCACAAAAGAACAACAGAAGACAGTAAATAATACATTAAACATGGAAGTTCTGTTCTTTAGCATAAAGTCTTGGAGTAGAATCTAAGTAGGAGTTGATGGCTTTTTTCTCTCTCTCTACAGCAAATACAGGAAAGACATTTCTGGGGACCAAGGTGAGCCAGATAGTTTGGAATCCTTTATTTCATCTCTATTTATCATGCACTTTTTTTTTGCTCACGTAAGCCCTTTCTCTCTCCTGGTATATCTCCTCTAGGAGTCCTCAGTTATCTACTCTGAGGTGAAGAAGAAAAAACACTTTGAGGAATCAGAGGAGAAGACCAATAACAAGTAAACAACAGCAATAAGATTGTCATAAAACCTTACAAAAATGTTCAGAATATATATAAATACATTCTACATAAATACACTATAGCCATATAACTTTCAAGGACTCTACACAACCCACTTTGTGTCATCATCTCTGTTTCATCACATTCCTTCTTTGATATTCTCTTCTCTTAATTTAATATGTATTAATCTGGAAATCCAAAATAAAAAGAAAAGGAAGGGGGGAACCCAACAAAAAAAAAACAAACAGGGTGTGGATTCCAAAATCCTTAAGGTTGAATCTAGATTCAGTTGCAACTCATTGTAAACAAATGGATTGAGAAATTATGATACATTCACACAATGGAAAACTATACAGCACACAGGAGCTATACTTGGTAAGAGGGACTGAAGAGCATTATGCTGAGTGAACTAACTCAGTCCCACAAGGATAAATATTGTATAATACAGTTATTGTAGCATGAATATAAGGATCCAGGAGGGGTGGAGAGGCTGGA